GGAGCAATTTTCTGACGTGCCGAGTCAGACAAATCGTCTTTCTGAGACGTCAGTATTCGGATGTTTTTCTTTTTCTGTGGTGGTGTGCGTGGCATTGACCCGATACAGCAGTACACGCGGCGTCGGCTCGCCGCTGTCGCCAGTGATTTGTTTTATTCTTGGCACGCAGAGCTGTGTACAAATTTGTGTAAATAATTCAGCTTCCTGTCATCGATGCCACGAATAACGGATGAAATCATTGTTAACACACTAGCAATTCTTCGTGGTGTTTAATCGATATATACTGTAGCGAAATGTAAGGCTCAGTTTGTGCAACATAAATTCAATCATAATTGCAGCTGATCTAGAACGCATCCGTTTTTGTTGACCTTCGCATGGTTTGACTTATAAATAATCTTTTTGATTGCTAATTTCATTCCATTTCTGTTGCGACTTGAAAAAATATCATGTGATCGATCCATGAATTCGATTTTATTCTATGAACGGTTTACTCAATTGAACTTGCTCAACGCGCTCTCTTCTGCCGAGTTAACTGCCCCGAATTTCTCACATGCATTTTCAGCATGTACTTTGTTTTCCAAGTTCAGACTAAACACTAAAAGCTACTTTAAAGATAAATAGTGTACTTCTATATCTTTTAGCACTAAGGATTTTCATGCAAGTAAATTTTATTGTTCGTTTGAGACCCGCATGTAAAATAAGACCATTATCCGATTGCGAGCTTTGGTGCGTTTTTAGGCCAAATCCTGGCCGTGAAGGTTATTCCGTATCGCTGACTGACCGCCTAAGAATAGCGAGAGACTTCGGTTCAGTCGCTCATTGATTTCCTGTTGATCTGCACACTTCCTTAGAACAATAGAGTCTTTAAACGGACACAAAGAAACCGTGGCGTTTGTTCGCCCTTGTAAGAAAATGAGTGTCAAGATCGGATAGGCAACGAACTCAAATAGACACTACCACTAAACAGTCGTTTGCTGTGCATTTGTTTCAGGAAGAATTACAGTTTCCTCACCAGGCTTTGCAGCTCTGTAAGTCATCATTATTGAACGATGTTGCGTGCTTGAAATGCAAGGGTGTGTTGCAATTAGTTTGTATCGCAAGGTATTCTTTGTCGTTAGCATTTATCCGCAAATCTCGCGTGTTCTTCATGGGAAATTTTAATTGTTGAAAGCTTGAAAAGTCATTTATTTTTAGGGTTTTGAAATCTTTTATTGCTCCACCGTATTTTTGCTTTCAAATAAATACCATTCTACAAAATTGAATGCCTCGACTTGCGCATAGTGTTTCTATGTTCTCATTTTTAGAAATATTTGTTGAACCTGTAAAGTATACCACATGGTAAGAAATTATTGCTATAAGAATTACGTCAACAGAATTTTAGTTGTTATTGTTGTTGATTTTTGTCAAGTTATTAGTCTAGTTATCAGTATCTTGTAAAGGTATTCGGATTAAGATGTACTATGTATGTTGATCAGATCATAATCTTCTTATAATTTTTTTAAGTGAAAATGCTATTTGAGTATTTACAAACTAGGTATTAGTTTGAGACAGACATATCAGCTTCATTCCTGTTTTGTTTGAACTTTCTTTCACGTATCCTCCACCGATTACGTTATTCCTGAAAGCAGATTAGGATATGATTCGTGAAATGAGCGTCTGTAAAGATTCGTTCATCGTTTCCTCAATGAAAGGCGTGACGATTGATGAGAATACGAAGCTTTACGGTGGACGTGAAGCTCGTGCGATCGATCCATGAATTATCGATCCATCATACCGTAAGTCATCATAGATTAAGCTACTCGGTCATGGATGTGGTGGAACTTGCCTAATAGTTATTTATATCTGGTCTCACGACACTCAATCGACGTGTAGAGACGGAAATCAGATCCGTGAAGCGTGTAGCTAATTTTAGTTAATGCTCAATGAGCAGAAATAATTTGATTGCTGAAATCCTCCCTTGTTTGCGATGGATTAAATTCATACCTGGATACAGTGGTGGGCACAGCTAACCTAAAAGTTAGCTTCGATAACCGCTAATCCGCTAACTGAGAAGTTAGCTTCGATAACGCTAAACCGATAAATCACCAAAAAATGTAGCGGAATTTGCCGCTAACCGCTAACTTTTAATATATAAATTTAGATTTCGCTTAATTTTTTTTTTTTGGGGGGGGGGAACTCTGAAAAACAGGCCTAGAGAGCTGAACTTTCAGCCTTGAAAAGGAGCTTTCCAAAAAGATGTAGCATGCTAAGATCAGACGATGATCAAGATGTACGTAACATAAATAATTATTTCCCCATCCTCGTCATTGCTGGTGGTGCTGCTGCCCTCCTCAACGGTCTCCCTCAGGGCTGTCTCCACGGCGGTCACCATGGCCTTCTGTACCCTGCTGAGATGGCTGTGATTATGCTTTTCCAGCCAGAACAGGCGAAACTTAGGGTGGAAGGCCGCTGCCAGCTGGCACTCCTTGTCTTCTAGGAGAGGCCCAAACCTTTTCGTGATGCCTGCCAGCATTGCGTCCACCAGAGGACTGCAGTATAGGTGTGGGCGGGGCACATGGCTTACGATACTTAGCATTAAATCAGAGATTTTTAAACATTTTTAGCGGACTTCCAGTTAGCGGAACTAAATTTAGCGGAAGCTAATTGGTCCGCTAAAGGTTTTCAAAGTTAGCTGAACAGCTAATCCGATAAGGAAAAAGTTAGCTTCGCTAATTAGCGGTTAGCGGATTAGCGGAACTGTGCCCACCACTGCCTGGATACAATATAGATTTCCTAATGGATAATAATATTATTAAATCTTTATTACTGAAAGGCATCATCCCATTAACTGCAGTTCACTAGAAGACTGTTGTAACGAAACCCAAATTTTCTCATCCCTATTATGGAATTTATATTGGCCAAAATAAATGCTTAATCAATTTTTTTAATTACATTTTAAGCTCAGAGTGGCAGTTTATTCTAATGAGCTATGCCAGCGAAGCGTGTAGGCAGTAATCACTTGATATAGACCTTGTGGTGCTGGTAATTCAAGGATATAGCCGCCTCCAGTCTTAGCCACTCATCTGACAATAAGCACCAGTCATTGCCATTAGTCACGCTGTATTCACCGCCGCGAACGCTATTCCAATATTTGTTTACCTCTTGGGGGTTAGGATGCCGGGTTTGTTTTGTGGCTGAGGTTGGCTCGTGTTTACCTCTGCAACTTCAGGTAAGGCTTGGCAAGGTAATGAGCTAAGAAGAAGGAAAATTGAGTGCCCATAAACATACCTGCTCTATTTCCATTCTTCATGAATAACAAACTTGATGACCATAATCCATGTACCCATAAGATTATGAGCAAACGTAAAAATAAATATTTCACTCTAAAACCGAAGCCCCTCATCTCATGCTAACTAAATCGAGCTCGTTTTTATTTATTTATTTATTTCTTTCTGTTGTTTATCCTACTTAGCTTGCTCGGTTTCTTTTGCGTTATTATTATATTATTATTTTTTGTGTTATTATATTATTTTGCATTATTTTGCAGGCACCTGTTGCAAGACTTTGATTGCGTCCCTGGGATAATGCTAGTGCGCTGAAGCTAAACATTCAAGTATATTCTAGAAGTATTTTTTACAAAATTTGTCTTGTCCTACCCTGAGTGCATGTTCTGTCTGCTTATCTGGGTAGAATAGCTATTTTTCGAAAGCATGATTTAATTAATTTTCTTGTCCGGCCAAGTAATACTTCACCTAAGGTGACGTAAAAATGTCCGAGTATTATATATTCCAATTAATTTGGAACATATTGTTCAAAGGCAATTTATTGGCGGAGTTCACATTTGATAGTTATCGATTCTTCTTCATCAACGTCCCGCTGACCATATTCGGATAGCAACGTCATCCAATCAGATTCGCCACTTTTCGAGCCTTTCTTTGATGGAAGTTCTGGCTTGCAAATAGAAGCAAAATGCTTCCTTGTCTCACGCCTTGACTCTCGCTTGATCGCTCCTCTGTGGAAAAAATCTGCTTAAGCCATCCGTTAAATATCATTAGTAAATCTTCGCATCGTTAAGATTGATTTTTTACATTCTTATATACGAACATAATCGCATTAATACGCCACAACTACGCAAGGTTGTTGTCATTCAGGCAATGGGAGCAGGAAGTTGAACTGTGCTGTCGATGGATGAATCCAAGGCAGCATGTCACTCGTTGCCGCATAGTCAATGCCTGGGGAAGAGGAAGCTGTGAAGCCATAGCTGCGAGATCAATGAGCCATGAAGAGTCGTTATTTATTATTAAACTAAATTACATCGAATCCAAAGTTGCTCAATTGGGAGTCAGAAGGCAATTGCAAGTTATTATTTTATAATCGATCTTAAAGACTATTCAGACCAGAATAAGCTTTCAAATAATTAAATATTCATTTTTAACCCGACGTTTAGAGGATAAACCTCCCTCTACCGTTGATCATTTGTTCTTACTTGCTTCGTTTGTAGTTTTCGTGTTAAATTATCTGCCGCGAGATAACAATTTAACGTTTCCAGAGCTTGCGTTTCCGCGGCTCCCGTTCTGCAGAGCTTCCCCGCGTGGCTCATTGCGCCAGTTTTTGCTGACCAGTGAACTTCCGCGCTGCTTTTTTAGATGGAATTTTTTTACTGCTGCTTGACAATTTTTTCTTTGCGCCTGAGTAAATTGTTTTAAATTTATTTTGAAATTTACACAAGAGTGTTTTTTGGAGCTCAACTTAGGCATTTTCGATTGTCTTGTCGTCTGCACTCGCTTATCAGGCTATGTTTGCAGTACTGCTTATTCGAGAGCATTAAACTCGAGAATTTTTTATATGATAGAGAATTAGTCGCTGTATCCAGCAGGTTTCATATCTACATATCATTACATATAATGTTCTATGCGTCGTATCATTGTTTCACTCATTATTATATGTATTTAATTACTACTATATTTTACAGATCAAATTATTGTAGTCGTAATTTGAAGTGTCATGGAATTGTTTTCCAGGTAACGCGGCCGGCGCGCCGCACGTCTCTGGAAGGGCGGGAGGACAAACCGCCGCCGTACGAGGACATCGAGAAGATGGACGCGCAGCCGCCCGACTACCCCAGCGCCGTGGCCGTCGCTTCCGAGAGTCCGCCGAGGTACCGAAACTTTTGTGTCTTCAATTAATTGGCACACATTAAAATTTTGGTGTGTCAAAGTAGTGCCTTATTGTGAAATCGTCAGATTGGATTTGGTTAATTTATGCCCTAGTTGCTTCAACTTGCATGAACCGTAAAAAGTTAGTTATCTATTTTGTTGAAAGTTTGAGTAACTCACATGGGCTTGCAAAATTTAATTTTTTAATTTGAAGTATAGCTATTATGAATTCAAAACGTCTACGTGATATATTGATCTCCTCGGTGTTGCAGCTACCACTGGCTGGCACGGATGTACCAGTGGGGCAACTTGATCGACACGACTACTCCCGGCAGTGTTAGCAACCAGCCTGGTACCAGCTGCGATTCTGGTGACAGTGAAACGTCAGGCCCTAATGTAGTGATCGTCAATTCCGGAACCTGTGGTAATGAATTATGTGGTAAAAATACTCCAAACCGTGGCCAAGTCAATAACTCATTTGAAATTAATGCGTACGAACCTTGTGGAATCCACTCGCGAAAAATATCTTCAACGAGCATACCCTCAACGCCGTCAAAATTACAGCATGCCAAAGGGAAATCTAAGAGGAGCAAATCGAGTGTTCCGAACACTGAAGAAGTCTTTAGCGACGATTCGAAGACATCGGGACTGTGGAATATTCGGAAAGCCTTTCTGAGATCTGTTAGTGATGACGGATTCTTAAGTTTACCTAATAACACAAGCACGGATGCAAACAGTTCCTCAGGAGTTACGCCACGGAATCCTGAGATGCATATAGGAAAAGATGACCTCCAGAATCCTGAACGCGATGGTGATCGTACTGCCGCAGGTGTTAGCTCATCAGCAGATGTGATAGCCGGGACTCGAGAAACCTTCGGCACTTCTGGTTTAGCCTCAAACTCTGACGGCAGCAACCCTGGTGTGGAGCCCCGTCAATCTCTTAATGTACAAAGGTTTCGGCGATCAGGATTCATCGCAGTAAATGTTGACCCCAGTGGGCCTGTGAGTCTCTGTAATTTAAATTCTCGTGACTCATCTGGTTCGCCTTCGATATTTGCTTCTCTGTCGCTTCATGGAAACGGGTCAAGTAATTCTGAATTCTCGCCAACTCTGCAGAAAACATCCAAGGAAAACCACTCTAGTAGACGAATGTCTGAAGATGGAGAGACGAGCCTTAGTAAAAGCAAAGGTGGTGCGGTTGGCCTGGGTCGGCGTGCCAGTTCAAGCGAAGTTCATTCCATTTCTAGTCGGTTAAAAGACGCCCAGTGTAGCATTGCAGATGAGTATGGCATGGAGTATAAGCAAAATGTTTTTATGTAAATTTGAAGTTATTTTAAACATAAAAGATTGTGTGATATTATAAAATAAATTAGCAAGTTAGAAATAGTTTGGTCTGACGGGCACAATACAAATCTAAGCGTGTAACATTTACGTCCAAGTACAGCGTGACAGTGAGTCGGATTTAGACGGTGAATAACTTGCATTCACATATATAACCGCCAACTTGATTGGCTTTTCTTTACTTTTTTTAATAATAATATTTTGTGTGCTGTTCTTAACTTGTTCGTTCGTAAAGTGAAGTTGAGAAATATATCGCTGTGTGGATTGCAGAATGATTTAATAATTCTGACTTTTACATCTCGTACTTATTCAATTTTATGAAAAGTTAATTGTCGTTTCCTGCCTTCGCTTTCATATGATAATAATGGTTTAGAACAATCGATTGTTTGACTAGTAAGAACATGAAGCGGGTAACATATATACCAAAGGTGGATCTCTGTACGTAAAAAACATGAACAATCCTGAAAAAAAAAAAACGGAACAACTGGGATAACACATGACGAACGCTGATCTTCCCTTCTAAAACATTAAGTTACTGGCTGGTATTTTTTGCATAATACTGTTCGCTTCCGGTCGTCGTCATACTAACTAAAATTTTGATAAGACCGGTTACTGCTTTCCAACCACCAGGCTATTTCTACCGAGGAAAAGTTATTTTCTAACAAAGCTTTCTGGTCAACTGTTCTTATTTTACTCGAGCGAGAGATGAACGTATTTTATTCTTGGATTTTCTCTGTTTGGTGCTATTATAGTTGAAGTATAACCTAACCTATGAATGAATTTTGTGTTTGAACATTACATTAATGCTAAGTACCGGAAACACTTTAGGCTTCTTATCCTTTATCCTATGCTTACCGCTGTGGTTTTTGTACTGCGAAGACAGTGAAGCGTGATGAACTTTCCACGTGCGTTATCGTTAAGTTTTCCTGTAACAACAACTCAAGTTGTCCCCGGTCAAATAATCTTAAATTTCGTATCCTAAAATTTACTCCAAAAGCTCGAATGTTTTCGTTTTGATGAAGGATACAAAAAAAAAATAAAATACTTATTGTTTTCTGAACGCTGACAGGAGGTAAACGTGATTCTAGAGAACCACTAGGGCCGAAAGTTGTGTAAATGGCCACATCTATCAGCAGGTTTAAATTGAACCTCACTGCGAGTTACGTAGCGATTTACGATATTGCAATTACGTTAGAACATGTGACTGATCTAGCACAAGTGTGCTGAACATCTGTCAGGTTTTTATATTGGAACACTTGCGCACTGCATATATATAGTAGCTTCAGGTAAGTACAGTGTGGACGGCCAGTCAGCCTCTGCTCGCGGGAGACCAAAACATTATTTCTATATAATCTTGCCCTACATTAATCTCCCTGTTTCTAAGTTTGAGTCAAACTTCTTAAATTTACTCTGCAGTTACGATTACCGTTTTACTTATAATTATCGTCACATTTTTCTACATAAGACTCATAATTTCTGGCTGCTTTTCCATTACCTTTACATGGCAAGCCATATGTCTTTAATTCTAACGAAACTCCATGGTTCAATTAAAAAAAAATAAAATAAAAAATTAAATCGGTTAACTTTACCGTACACTATATTAATTCTCAGGTTCAAATTCTCGAACTTCATTGTACTAAGTCGACTGACACCAATTTATAAGATTTCTACCTACATTGTATTAGATACGTGTTCATACGTCATACGCGGTCGTCTGGGTGGCTAGGCGAGTAGAATGATCGTGATACCAGCGCTTTATTCTCGCCACGTAACTGCTAATTTCTGTTATCTTGAATATAAATTATTAACCTCATTGGTTCGTGTGAGCTTTGTATGAATGCTGACCTAACACGGCTAACTGATTAAAATTGTGTACACTATGGGCTAATGAGGTGTGTGACGGAAAAGGTCTGGGGTTTTCATTATTTAAATTTAGCAATTTATGTATTTAATATAATTGACGTTATATTATTATTAAAAGTAACCGCAAAAGTATTCGTTCAATATTAATCCAAAAACTTGTTAGTTTTCATGAATTTTCAAGACAATCTAAGCACAAGTGCTCATCACTAGCAAGGAAGATGACCACATTAGAAAAAACGATTCTCTTGACTCCACCAACTAACTCATTACTACTGCCTGGCTGGGTATTACACAGTGTCAGTACCTGTAATCGTTACCCAGTGAGGTAATGTGCTCAAATTCATTAGGTCGCACAATTTTATGACGTGACAATCGTACCTAGTGCAGGTACAGTTGTACCTTTGCAGCCTGACGAGAGTAACGGAAATAAGAAATATATTGTATATATCAAGGATACTGAGTTGCTTCGTAGTAGAATACTTTACTCTAACCTACAACATTCATTGTACAAAACAACTAAAAATCTTACATACAAAACATTGTGATGAGCTATCACAGCATTTAATGGATAAAATTATTTACATATGAACAGAGAGAGGGCGCTGAAGTAGAGGCATACGGTGTCCATTGCAGGCACTAACATCACTGACGCTTTCGTAGCTCACGAGAAGAGGCCCCCACACGCTCATCTCCTCGCTAATTTCTTTCAAGAACCGACATGAACCTGTAGGAACCGATATAGAACCTGCACGAACCGACATTGAACCATACGACACGAGAATAACTCGTATGTGAAAGTCAGTTGCAAGAAGCGCATGCGATATGCTGTAACAAATATACGATTGACAAAGTGAGTTGACCAGGAGCGGTGCAATCGCACGTTGCAATGCCATGTATCATCGAACACAGAAACGTTGAAAAACAATCCAAGCGTGGTTCAAATTATAGCTTGCCAGTTTTAAGCATGGTAATTTGCATGCATTGCATCGCGTTCATAAAATGTCACGAACATATGAACATTATCTCCGAGCCTCTGATTAGGGCCCTGTAGTTGTCACGACAAATTAAACGAAAATACATTTTTTTTGCAGTAAAGCCAACGTACGTGAACCTCGTGAGCTCAATCTCGTGAATCTCAACGGTGAGCTTGCTGACATTGAACTCAATTCCATTTTTAGGCCATACAGTAATCAGAAAATTGTCTCATTCAAAGACTTCCGTTGCAAAATATATGTTCAATAAAAAGACACGGAGCTCTGAGATCAACGACGAAGAACTTCAATTAAGATGCAAAAGACCAGAATTCATATATTTTCAGAGTTTCCGTCACTCTCTAGGTTCAGTTGAAATTAATTTTTCAATGCGACCACGTATTGAATAATTATGCAGAAGAATCTTCAAAAAATTCTCTACATTCAGTTATTCAGTAGTTTCAGTAAAATCAACCTATCGACGTTGCGATACTGACCTCTCCTGAATCTACTGATCTCTACCGATCAGTTCAAGCAAAAAAATCATTACTAGGAGAATAACAATTCACGTGTGTGCATATAGCAAAGAAATATCTTACATAACCGTCAAAAAAATAAACGTTTGATCACTGTTTTCGTTACGTCAGAGGAGCTTCATAAAATAAGAAGACTAGAACCCGGCCACATGCCGGCCTTAATTCAACACTGCACAGCAGAATAATTCCAACAGCGCCATAAAGAATATTTGAACAACGATCAGGATTTATGAAAAAAAAAATTATGAGAGTGATACATTAGCAGTAATGCCATCTCCGTCCGAACATAGCACATGATAGAAAACAAATTACACCGCATACAGAAAAACACACTATAAATTCTAGCAGTTCAGAAAAAAAAATCGTCTCATTTCTGAACATTTTAAAATAAATTGCCTTCATGTCGGTAATTTAATTATAAGTTGAAATGTTGACAGTAAACAAGGCTGTGCCACGTCAACAGCAGCAGGGACCAGAGGCATACATTTAAACCAACACAGACTGCCAGGGAAAATATGTGGAAATACCGATAAAGATAATAACCATCCTTATATAGTACCCCTACCCAGATATCCGTGTAATATTCTTGCCAAAATTTGAGAACTAAAAACAGATATAAAAATAACCTATCAGTGGGATTATTACGAATTGAAAGTCAAAATTGTTTTCATAATGTCAACAAAAAATAGATCAAAGAAGTTTCACAAGCTGAATTATTCAATAGGAAGGTATTAAGCAAGAACAGATTCATTAACATAAAAGTTTTCCAACATGTGAAGTGTCGTTGAAGAATTTGTATTTCAGCAAGATTATGTTGCACTCTCAACTTCGCCTTCCGTAGTTTTGAGCTTACGCTGCGCTCTCAATAACGCCCCGCAAACAGGTCAATTAGTGGATGACTCAATTGATCATTTCGTTTCTTTTATTATTAAGAAAATTATATGCCAATAGTATGCACAATTAATGTTCAAAATTTCAACAATTCGCACTTTCGTTTCAACGCCTTCATCATCAACTGGCATTCAGTCATTCGATCATCGTACGTCGTACACAACATCCATCAAATTCCTGAACATCGGATCTGCCACAGTATCAGATCAGAAAATTATATGCTCGTTCAAACTTTGATATTCCTGCAATTATAGACATACTATTTAAAATTCCTAAGAAATTGTTACTCACAAAAAAATTACAGGCACGCAAAAACATACTATAAATCCACAATAAAATCACTCTCATTCACGTGCACACAATTTCACTCCAAGTCCAGCAGAGGAGCAACAGCAAAAAATTATCGTCGGAATAAAGGCAAGCTAAGGGTTGCCACGAGGAGCGTTCAAGCATTATACAATAGTCGCTCCATTAAAGAGAGCTTATCACATTTTGTCACAGATGCAGCACTTCAGCTGCGTCTTCAGTCGCTGTCCGACGCAAACACTGTATTATTCTTCTTTCTTTTTCTTGCAGGTTTCTTAACGTCTTCTTCCTGTAACCAGAGAAAAATTCATTTAGAGTTTGCAATTCATTCATATTACAGAAACTTGCGTTAACTTACAGTTTCTCGCACAGCCGATGATATAAATTGACTAAAATCTCTTCGATCATACATAGCACAAACAAGTACGTTCTCACTGTAAATAGGTGTCAATGATCCATCCAGGCTTAAAGGATTCAGTATTATTTTACAAAGTGAAAATCGTGGCGTCTGATTCAAATGAACTTCGCACGTTACACGTAAGTTGAATAGCAAGCAAAAAATAAAAGTATCAATAAAATAAAAGTGTCAAATCATAAAAAGTTAAAGAAAACGCATTCTCACCTCACTCGATTCCTCCTCGCTTTCCGACTCGGGTTTTTTTCTGAGCTTGGGTTTTCTTCCGCGCTTGCTATTGCTCTGTTTATTTCTGGCCGTGGATGCAGAAGAATTTCCACTGTCTTCTTTGCCAGATTTCTCGTCCGGACTGTCCGTTATCAAAGCAAATAAATCACCGTATTTCTTCTTCTGACTTTCAGTGCAAAGATTTTGCGCGGCTTGTAAAGAATCTTGCATGGTCGATAAATTAAAAAATTTTGTTTGGTCGCACTCTCTTCTTAGATGATTCAAGTGAGATAATAACTGGTCTAGAGTAACGTGACTATTGAGTTTACCTCCACCCTGGTTCCTTTTTCTTTTATTAGGAGAGGTTGGAGGTTTATTATTAACAATGTCGTTGATTAGCTTGGCCATTTTATCTTCGTATCTTTGGACCCAATATTGCAAGATGGTAGCCACGGTCGGATCTTCAGTTCTCAACTCACGTTGTAGTAAATGCTTCAGCAGACTTTCTGACGGCCTAAAATGAAGTACAATTCGATTTATCAATTTATACCAAATTTATCAAGGTCCATCATCCAACTCATTCTTTACATAAACGAGACGAGTGCTTCCAAGAAATGTATAAATTCTTTAAGTAAACTGAACACAAATATATAGGTATATACTGAACATAAATGAAAATATTCTTTTAGGATTGACCTTCATCAAATTTAAAAGATGTCGAAGGTAAGAACTAAATTGGTCAAAGAGAGGACTAGAAGAACTCACGATTCTCTTCTGAGCATCATAAGGATGTTGGCGAGCGCCTCAGGATGCACGGTGCTCACGGCGTCCGTGTGCGACGAGAAGCGCAGTCTGTGCAGCACCGACAGGCAGCAGTCCACGGGGATCTCGTGGGCACGCGCCAACTGCCACAGGAAAAACTGCTCCACGCTCTCCCATGATAAAGATTTGTCTGGAAATTATAATAACGGTTAAAAATACCACAATCGGCGCGTGATTCACTCATTCAAGTAGACATGGAAGAGGTTCAAGATAAATATTGTTAGATCAAATGTACTGTAAAATACCAACAAACTAGTATTCACGATGAGAGAACACCTGGCTAAGCAAATAATGTAAACATTGTACAGTACAAAGTATTAGTAAGAAAAATGACAGCTCCAAAATAAATAACCCAAGAATGATTCATTTACATATAAAAAAGTCCCCAGCAGTCACGGCAATCGCACAGGCTATTTTAAACAGATGTTCAAACGTTTAAAATATTTATAAACAATGCTGCAACAAAAAAATCAAATACAACGGATAACCGAAGACTAACATAAATGATCAAGTGTTAGGGAACGTACCCAAGATATTGGTGAAGGAACTATTATCGAACATTGTGAGTGTGCCTTGCAGTACGAGACAGACGAGGTCATGAAGCTGTGCCGCATCAAGTCTCTGCAGTACAAGATGAACGAGCTCAGCGTTGCCGGTCGTGTGCTTGGGGAAGAAGTTGTAGAGGTGAGGAAGCAGCCAGCACAGCAGACGTGGGTCGTCCTCAGAACAAACGGTGAGGTCCCGCACAATAAAGCCACTCAGGTCCTTCTGACCTGACGCTTTCCACAGGTCTCGATACACCTGTAGACAGAGTTATATAATACTATAATAGGCTTTTGGAGTTGTGAAAGTTTATCAGAAAATCTCTATACATGATGCGACTGTAGGCGTCGAATGACGCGTTTTCATTTTGGTACCCCTACACATGAAATTATTAATGAAATTATTCCTGACAAAAAAAAACTATTTATAGCCAGAGTGTAAAGCTGGCGAAAAATCTGCATATTACACACCTAAAAAAAAAGAGGTTAATTATAATAAGAGTAAAATCTTTATGACACTGAATAAAATTGGCAGAATTCCACAAGACTCTTTATATTTAATTCAAGATCATAGTAGATAAGAAATGTCAAAATTGAATTTCCCGAGATCTATTCGACTCATTTAGCATGACATCGCCTAATATTTATGAGAATTATTTCATTGTTCAGTGTCGAGACATTAAGTTACCTGGAATGATATTTGGTCAGAGGAGTCGGTGGCGCGCGTCTTGGCCGCCGCTGTGATGTAAAAGAGGAGGCGGTAGCCAGTGGCGGGTCTGAGCTGCTGCAGCGCCGACACCAGCATCAGCAGAGACTGCCGCCGGTGGTCGTCCTCGTTGAGACTCAACAAGTTCTCGAACAATACGAAGATGGGCGCTTCTAAACTTTCACACAAACTTCTGCAAACATGAAAAATTTCCATTTATAGGCAGCAAAATTTTTAAACAGGATTGTTACAATTTTTAGGACCTAGCATTCTGAATCATATCATACACACAGCATTTGATAAAAAAAGCTAATCAACACTTTGTTAGGGTATATTTGCCTAAATCTGAATACTGCTACCTAAATTGTATTTGATTTAAATCTAGGAACAGAAAACTTCTACACACAAATCGCCTCAATTGCAGATGTAGCTGGGAATTAAGAGGTTGGGAAATTTTTTCACGCAATGCTCAGTAATTTTTACAACACTTCTCTTTAACTTCACTTCTTGTTTGTCTGTCTGTCTGTCTGTCTGCTACAAATCTTGTAATCAAAATTAAATACACTTCTACTTATCCTATCGATCTGAAATTTTGCCCACTTGCGTAAAGTTGGAGACAATGCATGAATCAAATGTCAAAATAAATGATTTTAGAAATTAAAAATTTTTTTTTCAATATTAAAAAAATTGAAAAAATAATTTAGTCAGCTACAAATCTTATAACTGATATTTGACACACTTTTGCCTGTCTAATTGATCTGAAATTTTGCACACTTGTGTGAAGCCAGAGGCAATGCATGAATCAATTAATAGAATAAATACTTTTGAAGAAAATATATATATTAAAATATATATGAAAAATTTATATATTAAAAAATTGAAAAATTAATTTTTTAATATTCAAAAATTAAATGAGAAATTCATTGTACATCTGTAAGATTGGAGACACTGGATTCTTTGGAAGTGATGGCTTTAAAAGGTAATTTTTAAACGTATATTATTTATTTAATAAATACTTCCACTTAAAATGAACCACTTACTCCTGTGAAATGTGCTGAGGCAACAGTGAAGTTTCAGTGTTGTAGTCAGAGGCGAGCAGGAGGGACAGAGCTCCGGCCAGATGCTCGGCCTCTTCTTCATCTAAATCTTCAGCAAAGATGAGATCACAGATTTTCTGTAGCAGCTCGCACCTGACACGCATCAAGAGACATTGTTAGGTAATTCAGATATATAGTACAATTCATTATGAGCAACGCAACTACAAAAATGCTTCTTTAGAAGCTTACAAAAATAAGATGTTAATATTATAAAGCACCCTCATCAGATGATCACATAAATACCTGACTCGTTCTATGAAAATAGATGACTATGCATTAAATTAAATTTATTCTACGAATTTACTAATCCGGAGGAATAAAGCTGCTGTGGTTGAATATGGTAAAAAGGCAGGATCTATGGAATGATATTCTGAAACAGATCACACTTCACACCACCAAGTGACTGGCAAGCCAGATTTGCAGACTTTGGACATTGGTCCTCGTTAAACTGGATGGAATACGTAACTGAAGCAAGCATAAAAAAAAATTAACGACTATATTGGATGTCACAACTCACCTTCGGGCTTGGTCTTTCTCTAGTTTGAGATCGAGTAGGAAGTCTTTCATGTCAGTCTCGAAAGTATTAAGATGCCCATTCAGTTCTTGTGATTGCGCATCTGTTAGGGCACTGCACTTATTAGTTCTTCCTCCATTCAGGAGCATCACATTTCCATTTATACAAACACCATCTTCTGCCATAACCTCCACAACATCGTCACTAACCGCACTTCCACTACAAACAGAAATTATGCTATTTAATTGGGCACTATTGCTTTTAAAATTTGCGTGATTATTATTACTGCTAATGTTGTTACAGTTACTAGATGTGGTGGAATTAAGAAGTGAACTAGAAGATTTGTTATTACTGTATGTTAGCGGTCGCTGAGATATTGCGCTCAGGGTGCTCGTGGTATAAGTTAAGGAGCCAGTGACTGCATCAGCAGTGGTTACGGAAGGCAAGTGGTTGATAATGGGATCGGTATTGTTTTTGGATAATTTGTTTGATAGAGGTTTACAAGCAGAAGTCACCCGGGTGTTGGTTAAGGCTACATTATTGCTAATAGGCGTGACACTTCCATTTTCCTCATCCTCATCACTAAACATTGCATCTTCTTCAACACTTGGGTGATGATTGTTGAGTTCCACATCAGGCCCCGCATTTGCTCCACTAACACCACTGTTGAAATCCAATCCTGCCTCCGCCATAAGGTCTAAACTTCGCAGGGGCACAGGCGCTCCGGCATGAAATTCCTCTCCAGCACTCAAATTATTCGAACAAAATTCGGGGAATGTCTCTCGCACCAGCCTCCTCAATTCGGGATCCATTCGTGGGTTATCAAAGAGAGGTTCAATGTTGGGAATGACACGCTTCTCAAGAATGTGTCGCAGAGACGTTACAACGCCAGTCCGCACTTGAGCTGCCATGGCAGGCTGGAAGTGTGGTATGATCCTGCACAGGAAGTCTAAGAGCGTCGTGGTGAGCATGGGATGTGGTTTGAGTGAGTGGTACATCACAAGGATCCCAGGTTCAATGTTCATGATATTGTCATTTTCACCGGAGAAGAAAAGCCAATCATAAAACAAGGCAAGTTTGCAATTGGCAGTGGCCGTAGCCGAAGTGCACGATGACAGCAGCCAACCAATCACCGCCCAGCGAGGAGTGATGTCAGAGCAGAGCACTTCATTGCTGGGGTGGATGACACCAATGATGAATCTTATCAGGTCGCACCGTAAGCTTTGAGACTCGGGAGTGTTCAGGAACTGCAAAAAAAACGAACTGGTGATTAGTAAATCCTGAGGCACAATACTTTTTTTACATTGCACAGGAAAGAGAAAACAATTTAGCTAAGACGTAGCAATTTATTTTACACTGCCATTTTTGTATCAAGATAACTTCAAATTTCAACCTATCCTGCAATGATGCAAATCATATCAAATTCAAAACTGCTGCGCGGTAATGTCTCTGCTACTAAATACTGGCTCCCCCTGTCATTGATACCTGCCAATAGATACCAGCTCTCACCTATCACTAGATACCAGCTCTCACCTGCCACTAGATACCAGCTCTCACCTGTCACTAGATACCAGTTCTCACCTGCCACTAGATACCAGCTCTCACCTGTTGCTGATACCTTCCACCAGTTACCAGCTCTCATCTGTTGCTGATACCTGCCACCAGATACCAGCTCTCATCTGTTGCTGATACCTGCCACCAGATACCAGCTCTCATCTGTTGCTGATACCTGCCACTAGATAACAGTATTCACCTCTCGCTGATAGCTGCCACTAGATACCAGCTCTCACCTGTCTCTGGAACCAATCTTGATATCTTTTCTGCATCCCGAATTTGACTTCAGAACAAAGGTAGTGGATCATGCGCTCCATCTCAGGCGTCAGTCGCACCACAAAAAATCGACGAGATGTGCGTGTGGACATTAGTTGGCTAAGTCCTGCACAATGAATAATAAATCAACCATTTAAAGTTATTAAGAAGATCAATGCTTGTACAAAATCCTAAATGCATGCAGTGTCTGTTGACAATGCCTTAAACGAATTTCACGCACGGAATTTCAATTCGGATGGAAATATTTAAATAATACGGGCAAAATATCCTCACAAAATTGAATTATTGATCAATGACAAAGACATTAATGAATCTACTGATTATTGCTTCTATGATACTCGTAATATAGAACTCCAATGAAAAACTCTGAAGGATTTTTGATTCACCCACCAGGGAAGTTTGGTGCTAAGCAACCAGGATTGTGCAGCAGGTCACGCCATAAAGCCTCAATTTCGGGTATTTTGGCAACATTTTGAAGTAAACGCACCAAATCACGACCAATAACTAGGCAGTCCTGAGGGTTGAAAGTTATAATTAAGCATGTAAATGAAGGCAGTGTTCTGAAAGATCTGAAGAATTAGAATGAGATATTGAGACATCTGATATCTGACCTACCCCGATAAAGCAATTACAAGACAATTTGAACAAATATATTTGTTTTTATACAACCGTGTGCTTATTGTAATATTTGTATAAATACTTACTGTTCGTTTATTGGAAATAAAGTCAGTTTGAACCCATCATAAAATTAAAAGAGAAACTTATGCTTATTACGATGTTTTTGCTCATTTTCCTTTGCTCATTTTCCAGCTAAACATACCCAGGTATCTCTGTTAAAAAAGTAAATCTACATTAATTTACCTGGAATTTCTCTCTGAGAAGAGTTATGACGAGCGAGACTTCCTTCTGCCTTAACGCGGCAAAGTTAGGGGCCTGATGGTCCTCCAATATGCGCAGGAAGCTGTACACGGTGCTCGCTATGATCACGCTGTACCGCTCTAGCCATGTTCTGAAGCATGGGATCACTTTAGTTCACACTTCAAGATTGGACAAATTAAACATGAATACAACAATGAATGAAGAAATTTCCCACAAATAACAAGTATTAGTAACCTCCATTCAAACCGCCATGACTTTTTAAAATAATTTCACCAACCTCCATAAAAAACTGCTATGAATTTGCTTTATTAATTTCAGTATTTGAATTTCTGTTATTAATTTCAGTAACCTTTATACAAAACTACCATGAAATTTTTTAATATCATAAGTTATTATATAACTAGCATTGCCGTTTGTTATTCAGTATGATATATACGGTATATATTGCAAACCCAAATAGCAATACGCATTGACAGGATTTAAAGTATGAAGCATGCTTGTTGTTAGCAGGCAAGGCTTCAATCAATTGCACCCAAGTGAAGTCGACAGAGCAAACTTGATAGTCAGTCTAGAACGGTAGCGCAAGCTGGACATTATATTGATGGGCGTCCATACAATTAAAACTTTTATTCAGTTTAGTTCACAAATGTGGAGGAATTATAGACAGCAACAGTGACCACGATCAGTGGCAACAGAATTAGATTGAACAAGTGGTTAAAAATTGTTCCTGAAAAGATGAGAATACTGACATGTAAATTTTTTTCAACTACAAATAAATAGTGAAATTGTCGTATTTACTAACAAAGGACAAAGGAAACCTATTCTAATTGTTGGATGATGCACCACCATATGAGCAAAAAAATTATGCTGCCATGAGGACATTAATTACTGCCCATGAATGACCAACTGCTTTTCTGATATATTAAATAATATGACAATGTTACAAGTTGTTAGACTTGTAAGTGGCCAAATGTCATACATTTTTTCCAGTTAGTCAAACTTAAATACTGTTGTGCAATATGTCTATCTTTGAGCAAAACTAATAATAAGCTTTGCAGATATAAACACGTAACAGCATACACTTCTATTTTTTTAAATGAATTAACCAAAAACTATTTTCACTAGAAAAAATTTGAGCAATATATAGATGGCATTGCGCGGAATTAAAATCATAGTTGCAGCATAGTAGCTGAGAACAACAGCCCCTCCTTACTTGACAGTGCAAGGCCAAAACTTTTACGGAGATACTTAAATGGAATAAATCAAATTCCTCAAATGATAAATATAACCCACCTGTTTTCCTTGAGCATATCACAGAGGCTTTCAGCTAGCCATATGTTTCGTGCTGAGACGTCACCACCAGCCATTTGTCGTAGAAGGCACCACACAACGCCTTCCACCTGAGCCACACCAGCACGGACCAACTGACGCACTAGCCACACCACCTGAACATAATAAACAATAAGCACTACCTACCTTTAACACGTCTAATGAACACAAGTATAAGTTTAACATAGCATTTGAAATTTCAAAATTTATACATCATCCAAACAATGTAATGCTCATGTATAAAAATAACAAGTCCTTAAGAAAAATCAAGCATGGATTATGGATCAACCAATCATTACTCAGTAAACTGTGAGAAAAAAATAGCTAGTTAACCCTGTATAAAGGGATATCTCAGCATAAAAGTTTAAGCAAGTTAAATTTCGGAAAATAACTTGTAATGAACAATGCTCCAGGGCAAATGCATAGTAGCACTGATACCATTCAAATGATTGGTTATCCCAGCATGATGATAGACGAGAGAAAAAATGATAAATAAACTACAATATGTGGCATTCGGAGAAGCATATACAATAGATTAGCATACGTGACAGAAGGCTCTATAAAAGTCTGTTACCTTGTACATATCACTCAGGACTCCAATAATGATTAGTAGGTACAGATATAGGTATAGCTTGCACAAAGTGAATGGTTACATACCTGCTTTTTAGTGTTTTCTAGGAGTCTGTGAAAGCGCTCTGTCACAATGTGATTGATGAGAGCGTCGCACACGCCTTTCAGGCTGTCCCGACACACCATCATCAGGTCTTGGAATGCCTGCAAATAATTATCCACAATTTAGAAATTTTAGTAACAAAAAATTCTTATGCATTACATTTTAAAAATCAGAGCATTGAGACAACTTACACATTAGAATGTACAATAAACTTAACCATATGCATACAGATGTATACAAATGTTATTGTGACAATATATTTTTTTTGGTTATTTAAAGATCAAAACTTGTGGTTCAATAGGGCGCAAAATAAAAGTTGTTGATTCAATACTGAAAAAGTAAAACAATGTGAAATCTCAAAAAAGCTTCATTGTTGAAAAAAATCCCAATAATCTAAACATTAAACATAATATACCACAAGGTTATTTCCATGAAAAGATTATCCATTAACAATTTATTGACTAAACTACCCACAACCATTAAGATTCAAAAATTACTTTTTCCTCCATGTTCATGTAAGGTAAAATTATCATTTGCCATTAGATGCTTCAATACTCAAAATGGGTAACAAAAACATGTAAGGCATTTAAATGCTTCATCTACAGCCTGGTCCATACCTCCCAAATTTCAATTTTATTCATATCACCATCCATAAAAAAGTTTGATGCAAGCAGCAAAACACCTAATTATCAAGTGAAATGCTATAAGGAATAAAAAGTGACACCAAAATGTTTGGTCATGAAACAATTAAGAGTCATTTCTACCTATAGAAAAAAAAAGTTTTACAATAAGAAAAAATGAAAACTAATTCAATGATAAAAGTCATCTCTCCCACCCACCCTATTTGCCTGAGCTGGGTCAGACAAAATGGCCACCATTAATCCTAGGCATATATCTTCATGTTGTTTTGGATCATCAATGGCCTTGTTGAGGATGTCATGAGCTTCCTTGTCACTCAGGCCCCGGGTGAGGTTCATGAGCATCATGTAGGCTTTGTCATATTTCTGCACAGCATAGAATAGATCAGGATAATCACAACATAATTTATGGAGAAAAAATTAGAAAGTGCTATTTCTGCAAAATACAACTGTAGAATGAACATCAGTAAATTTGGATATCAATTATATAAATTTGGGCTGAATATTTTGGGCTAAGATAAAATGGTTCCTATGAAACAAATTATGAATTATAAACTTCTAACTGGTATTCATTGTCATCTATTTCAGCAGTTAATGAAGATGGCATTAGTTAGGTCATATCTCCAGATAAAACACTATAATTTAAGGCCAAAAGTATTGTAGCCAAGGAAGCTGATTTTCAAAATATAGGTTAGCTAATGCCCTAAAGTCAATGGTGTCCTGAATATGGTAAATAAGGATTAGATTTTAAATGTAAACACATTGAATGAACTTGGAAATAAGTTCAATTTTATTTTCATAATTTCATTCACTATAAAACATTCACTCCAACAACTGTGGCCCTTGATCATGGAAACTGAGCAAATGATTTCATAGAAAATTTGGCTACATTAGGAGTCACTGCTGAGTGACCACATCCAGGAGATATTACCCAGGTTTTTCATGTACAAATTAAATACTCATCATCTACATTCCACCAGTGTAAATTCTTGAAAATCTTGTGATTCTTCTGAATGCAAACTGACAACCACTTTGATGGAAAATTGGAAATAGGATGGAAATGGTTGTATTAATTGTTCTGCATGACTTTTGCATGCTACCTAACTCAGGTGGATATTAAAACCATCTGAATAGTAATACGCATGGAGAATCAAGTAGTTCTAACCCAATTAAAAAAAATGCAGGACAGATAAGTCTCAAAATAGTCAGTCACTAATCATGTTCAACATTCAAACTTTTTATTTTCAACAAAGTTGAAATCAAACTCAAGTTTGCTTTAATACAGAGGCAAATCTTTCAAAACACAACTTCTTAGAAAACAAACAAAATTAGGGCAACTGAGCATATTATTATGCAGCTTTAAATTAATATACTGTACTTCTGCAAAATATCTGGGCCAATTATTCTGCACCAATTATGAAAGCCATTGAGGATTCAACAGGAGTCAATTTTTGCTAGGAAAAATTTAACCAAACTATGCATTAAGGGGGAGCCAAAAATTGTTTCTTAAGATATGTAGGTATTCAAGAAAAATGGTATTTATAGGATGTTATTTTCATTGAAATGGATAACATTAAGTCATGCAGTGCGTGATGGTACCTTCAATACGAGAAATAGGTGATGGAAAAGCTGATGATACATTATTAAAATTATTATGCTCATTTCATTATCTTGGCTTTTTTTAATCCATCCAACCTATATGTCTCTTCTGAACAATTGAAATTGCCTTTTTTTTGCTTCATTTTAATTCTATCTTCTCCATATATTTTTAAGGTACAACATTGAGTGATGAGAGACATATCATTTAATTTGACATATAAATTTGTTTTACCCCAATTCTAGCAACTCTGAAAGTCTTTTTCCCAATTCATCTATTGTTTGGATTAATGTATTATAAAAAACTGAAGGAAATTAGAGATGAAGGGGTAAAAGAATAGAAAAAGTCCTTCAAGAATAAAAAAAATTAAATAGCCTCTCAACTCCACAGATATTTTTATCACAAATTGAATGCTTCTGCTATTATAGCTTGTAAATATTCATTTTTTAGCTTATAAATGCAAGAAGGGGATTGGGATAGATTTATAAAAGTTCTCCTGTAACCCATTTTCTATGCAATTAGGTTTCTTTTGTTTCCTCAATAAAATCATTGGAACAAAAACTGTCCTTTTATTAGTGTTAAACAAATTAACACCTGTGTAAGAAGTTTCAGAAGGATCTGTCAGTTAGGCCCTAGCTGCTAGTTTAGAAATTATTTTGCAGGAAAAACTCCCCCCCAGGCTCCTTCTGGGCTGCTCTTAAGCTAAACAAATTTATTTCAATACACTATGAAAGAAAAAAATGATATGAGGTACAAAATGCAATCATTTATGTGCTCAGATTCAGTTACACAATTTTTTTAACTTTGAGCTTGACAATGATTGCATGTAAATTTTAACAAAATAAAATAAGCATCTAGTTCATTTATTCCTTAAACAAAAATTTATAATTTAAATTGGCATATCATAGTCTCCCTATAATCATATTGTCCTTATTCTTTAATAAATTTTTAATTTATCAGTAATTTTATATAGGCAAAATTTAATAAGAATCAACTCTGTATAATTAAAATCTAAAAAATCTTCAACCAGGAAAATAATAAGTTTTATATTTTCACATGTTTTCCATAAGGAATGACTGATAAAGTTTCCATATTAGACATAGTGAACTTGCAAAAGTCGAGAATTTTATCAACAATATATATATTTCGAATATTGCAATAGAATTAGCTTCCAAGTGAACGGAAAATTAAAAAGAAATTGATAACAAAATATCATATGGCATGTAAATTCATCTATTCAATCAAGTTGTAAATTAAAATTTTATTTTTCACAGGATCAGCTGTTGGATAGAGCGAGCTCCGCCGCCATGATCACATGAACACACGAAGGACCCGACGGGAGACGTGCAGTATAATAACAGTATTATTTACCTCATCTATATCAAGTTTTCCTTCTACGACTGACGTAGCAAATAATCGAGAGGTGTTTGTTCGCTCAGTAGCCATTTTTAACACATAATCACAATACTAACGCAACAAATAACAATTAAATGAGGAGATTCCCTTCAGCGCAACCATCAGACACAACGCGCAGCCATTGCGCGCACGGCTATGGCGGAGGTGAGGCGCCACCTCACAAACAAGTGCTCGCTAGCATTTATCATCATCGAGTCAAAAATTATCGAGAGCTTTTGCATACATATATTGTGTTACTTATTAGTGACTGAACTTTGTTTAGTTTCATTTTGATTGGGAATTAAATTTGCGTTAGGGCATAGTCAAATTAGTGATAAATCTTAGGGTAAATAATTTTTCTCACAAAAATATGCTTGGCAACTCAACCTTTCATTTGTGCTGAAGTGCTAGTTACCGAGCAGAACTGAACGAGGTAGTATGTTGCGTGCTCGCAGTGCTGCCTTGTAGAGTTATTTACATTGCTACAATTTTTTTTACTAATAAAGGCTAATTTTTACGCATGAGCTTAGTTATGCTTTGCATTATGCGTACATATGTATTGATCAAATTTTAATTAGTTTCATCTCATGTAAAATCAAATGCGACTCGGCTGGGGATTGGGTACAAGTTAAGCACAGAGTTTACTAATTCCTTGAATGTCCTGAGATTTCAAGCAGTTGCTATACAATATAAAAGAATCCGACCTTAAATTATTTTTTAAATTTTGAAATAAATTCCTTACAAAAATAATTTCAAGCGTTTTAATGTGTAATTTTTTAATGAAATTACTTGACACAAAGCCTCGTATTGTGTCCAGATTTGCAGTGCGTAATGGCTTGAGTATATTGTAAATATAAATTGTTACAATTATTCAAGAATGCACTAAAAGCAATTCTGATCATTCTTAATATATACCGTAGACTAACAATACATTATCTTGTGGTAACATTCGTGACGTTTTTCCCCTACAAAGCTAATGTTGCTAACATCTGCGACGTCTGACATGCTTACTAGAGTTCTACCACTTGTCAAGTTGTCAACTGACCTCCTCCCCCATGACTGATGCACTGCCAAGCATTAGGCAGACAACTCCACGAGGAGTCATTTTTATGGTCTGTGTTCGCAGATAGCACTGTAAAACTCGTTGCATGATTAAGTCGATTGGCATCTTATAGTGCTCCGAACAATACATACATCTTGCTCCGAATAATTGTCGAGCAAGTAACAATCTGACGAATGATTCATTACCGACAAGAAGTGAAGAACAACACTTCTCTTTAACTTCACTTATTGTTTTTTTTTTTGTCTGCTACAAATCTTATAATCAATATTTAACCACTTCTTCCTGTCCAATCGATCTAAAATTTTGCGCACTTACGCAAAATCGGAGACAATGCATGAATCAATGGACACAATAAATAATTTTGGAAATAGAAATTTATTTCATATATTAATATTAGAAAAATTGAAAACTCATTTTTAGCGCATTTTCTCATTTATGGAAAAAATGCACTATTGTGCTCGCCATGTCCGTCTGTCTGTCCGTGACCTCAAGTTTTCGTCGACGAGAAAATGCGCTCTCTGTCACTCACTGCAGTGAGTACTGAGTTATATTTTTTAATATATGGAAATGAAATTAGAAATTCAATATAGATGTGTAACATCGGAGACACTATTCTTTAGAACTGTTGTCTTTAAAAAGTAATTTTTAAAGGCATATTATTTCATTGCGTAAGTCTGAAATTTTCGTTAGAATTTAGTTTTTGAATTATGTTATTTTTATCGTGAAAATCTATTATGACAAGATAAAAGTTAAATTTATTGCATTCACTCGAATATTTAAATTTATTTTATTAAAATTAACTGCATATTTGATTTCAACGTCGTAATTTTGCTTCAACTCATGTTTTTTGCTATCACATTGTAAATTTTGCTCCGATACAATTAATTTTGCTTCGATGCTATATGTGTTGTTCCGTCGTTATAGTCTTATTTTGCGGGTAAATTAAAGTTAAAGATTATTACAGTAAAATCTATACATGTTTAAAAGAATGCCTGCTAAAGACTCAAGTTGCATTGTGATTGAAGTGAGCGTAGGTTTCACCGTTTCAGGATTAGGAATGCAAAATGATCGTTGACATCGCACTGATCGCAGTGGTGGCGGAGCATCCGTGTAGTGCGAGGAAGGTGGTCAGCAACTGACAGTCAGAGCTCGCCAGGCATGCCGGAGCTTGTGACGCCATATCCACCGACGACTTCTAGTTCATATAATAAGGCCTATTACCGATCATAAACTATGGAACTGTAAGAAAAAATAGGCTTGAAGAAATAACACCGAAATTGTGTCATCTTATCTAGATTTCGCATTTTACACTGCCTGACGCTGAACATTATTATAGCTTGACTATTTACTCTTGATTGAAGTGACACGGAAATAAGTCATTCTTCTATTTACCAGATAAAATAACTTTCGTTTCCAAAATATAATGAAAAACGATTTGCAGTAAAATAGTAGTAGAACTTTAAATCTACAATGGCAGCGAGTACGCGACATTAGGTGTTCAGTAAATAGCCACGCAATGACCACTTGTGCAGCGAGCTCCAGGAGTTCACAGCGAGGCCCAGTTGTGGACTGGGCGTGCCATGGAAGCACAAGTGTTCTACCTAACCAATTGATCCGCAGCCAACGAGCTACCGGCATCAGATTTAGTTCCGAAACACAGTCGGACTAACCATTGATTCTCTTTAGGAAGTACGTAAGGGTATCTCTGATAGTGCTTGATTTTCCAGTCCACATGTTACTAAGAATTAGCTGCGAAGTCTTTCGTTTGAACAGGCAATCAAACATCCCACCCCAATGAATGGTTGTGTCAAGTCAAAATGTGCCATGAACCACGTGAAAGCTGTTGCCTATCCTTTCGCTGTACGTCAGGCAGATAGATTTTATCGAGGTTTCTTGATGCCTGGACATTTTGATCGTCTTTTTAGCCATGCCTTGCCCAGGCTCGATAATAATGCAGGAATACCGTTATTCCGAATCCAGTTACTCATGTCCCAATTCCGTTAACCACATAAAAAAGCTTATGCTTGCTCATTATAAAAAGATCCCTTTAAAACCTACGTTGTACATGAAAAATAGAACTCCCCTTTAACTCTCGTTTCATAGTACGGAAAAATAATTTTGCGCCTTTATAATATAAATTATAAGATAACTACCAATTTCAAAATCAACATGTTTTGGTCCAGTATTTTCCTGTCCGTTTTGTAATGCCTTGCTATTCTCTCACTTAGAATAACTTTTCAGGTCCCGGTAATATCCTAGCTGATACGACACGCGTTCTATCAGACCTGTATATTTACGGCGTCAGGTTTCGAACAAACATAAAAAAACTTTGACGGATATCTATACGATTATAGTGATGAGTAAATCTTTAAACGAGTTCAAACGTCTATGTGCCATAGTTAATTTATCACTGGATGAAGCTTTGCGAACGGGCAAGACTTAGTTTACCATGACCAATCGATGACGCCTTGATCACAACGTTCAGTGAGGAGCAGAAAAAATATGGATTTGCATTTCTCCTAAACAATGAACTTTGGATCTTCCTATTGCAGCCTTTGTCGGTGTTTTACTCTAGCTTCGTAGTTTCGTATCATTAACTGTTGATGGAACTCTTCTGAAAAACAGGCTGTATTGATTTGGATCATTGGAATATATTTTAGATCACGGAAGAAGTGTGAACTAGAAATATCCAATTCTACACAAAAAATATAAAAATGAGAATGAACAGCATTAATGAATTTGTGCGGTGTAAACAATCTGTTGCTAACAAATAATGAAGTTATTGCGGATTGAACAATAATAAATATAATACTTAAAAAAAACTTTAAAAAAAAACACGTTTTTCTTGTGGACTAAAAAGTAGAAAATAAATTACCTAAAAAAACTTTTTTAAAAACACGTTTTTCTTGTGGACTAAAAAGTAGAAAATAAATTATGGCTCGCCCCAAAAAACGTGTGTCGGGCATATTTATGATTAAAGCGAAAAGCACACAACACACGAATTTTGGAAATTTGATGGTGAACGTACAGCCCGACCCACGTTTTTTGGGGCGAGCCATAATTTATTTTCTACTTTTTAGTCCACAAGAAAAATGTGGTTTTTAAAAAGTTTTTTTGGAGTATTTTATTTTCTACTTTTTAGTCCACAAGAAAAACGATTAAGACTTGATTAAGTATGACTTGACGTACGTACGTATCGATGATACGCAGCGTCAGCGCCTGCTCGTCTATAACGTCAGCGCCCGCACGTCATACTATATATATATATATATACTTTACTCAATTAAGCTAATTTAGGTCTCTAATTGCTAGTTTTTATGATTGTATTTGAAATTGTTAGGCAAAAAATAGCCTGCATGCCGAATTTCAGATATCTAGAGCAATTAGAAGTGGGCTAATTTTCGTTGTCAATGTTAACAACAAACAAATCCACAAACAAACGCGAAGCTAAGTTAAAAAAAACGTGTTAAAATAGTTGCTCAGGAATGAACAAAAAATACTAATAAACACATTGCCACGAGTGTTTTGTTTCGAAAAGGCTCGAAATATCTGAAAGTTTACACAAAATTTATTTTAAAATAGGTAGTTACTTGATAACCTTTCTTAGCTTGAATAAATTACCATCTTTAGTCCAACACCAATGACCATCCTTGCGACATAATTTCCTATGATTTAATCACGGTCAAATGAACTGCTGAAACGTGTTCAAAATGAATAAAAGATTCTATTCATCTAAAAAAATTTCGTAAGTTTATGACCGGAAAAAGAAAATGCTAGAATTGAGTTATTGATACGAGGTAATGCTTAAATAAACGAAAGAGTTGCTTCGATTTTTATTTATGTTTAGATTTCAGTAGAATCGACGAAAAACAGTAAGCCTGACATTGTGGAGTTGCATTTGCTTTGACATTTTTCTACGATATTTCTGGTGCTCCTTTTCCACGCTTAACATTTTCAAAACGAAACCGATACTAATGTTACTAACAACGAAGTAAATTGTTCCTAATACGCTCTTGTAAGCAATTTCGTTTTTTGTAAGCTTCGGTTTTAGTTAGTGCGCTAAATGACAAGTTTTGATACCCTTTTCTAAACATGACACTTTGTCAAATCG